GTGCTCTACCACCTTGAGCCACAGAACCACTTCCAGTTTTATGGTTGTTAATTGGAGATAAGAGTCTCATGGACTTTCCTGCCTGGGCTGGCTTTGAACCATGATCCTAAGATCTCAGCCTTCGGAGTAGCTAGGACTACAAGCATGAGCCACTGGCACCTAGCTTACTTGGCTTTTTGTCAGTGGCATACCTTTCTGCAGAAGTTGGCTTTGTCTTGCTGAGTTTCTAGATGATTTCCTTTTCCTACGTGACACCCCAGGATCTCCAGATGTTCCCAACACAGCGTTGTTGTGAAGATTGAGGTCTTCCATGTAATATGCCTCCCTCATGCACTATTGATTGTGTGTGTGTGTGTGTGTGTGTGTGTGTCTACAGACAGCTTGCATTTCTTGACCACTTTATGCCTCCTTCTAGGCCAAGTGAATGTCCTAGGAAGACTTTGAATTCTATAGTACTTTGTGAAAAAAAATTAAACTATGGCTTCTTTAGAAAAATAATCTGTGTGTGGTGATATCCTTGGCCAAATATTTTCCTTCCAGCTTCCCCATGGGCTCTTTGCTGACCAGGTTGAGAGACAGCACTTTCCTACCAGGGTAGCAGAGGCTGGGAGCCTGCTGTCTGGAGCCAAGTGTAGTTCATCTCCTTTGGGAAGAAGAGAACAATTCAGACCTGTAAGGGATGGGGGGGGCCTGACTTTTGCAGTGCCCCAGATAGCAAGAGCCTTAGCAACACAGGTTGTCTATGTGGCCTACTTACTTTTGTAATTTACACAGAAGGCCAGAAGATGGGGCTCTTGACCCTAGAGTAAAGGCTAGACGCTCTGCCTTTACATTTAAACGGAAGGAAAACCAGATCTAGTAGAGATTCCCAGGAATCACGGCTACTTTCCATTCCCCATCAGCCATGGCTGAGCCATGGCTTTTGGGGAAGCAGGGGGCCGGGGAGGGGGGCTGGGGAGGCAGTAATATATGTAAGTACATCTTCCCTTTGGCTTATCTTGAATTAGTATGTTGTCAGGGTGAGTCTAATATTTCTTTGTTTCAGATTTGTCCTTCTAATTCATCTCCCTAATGGCAGATTTCAGAGATAGGATCACTTTTCAAAGGATAGTGTAGTATGAGGCAAGAACTGCACTGACTCAGACCTGCCCTTGACTCATCTTATCTGAGAGGCTGTCCCCACCTCCGCAGAGAACCTCCATCACATACGTTTACAGTGGCTACCATAACTTGTAACAATTTCATTTCATTACTTGATTACTATCTTTGGAAGATGCAAGGAGGCCAGTTTGTCTTTGTGTTGTTTCCTTATCACCCAACACAGGGATGGATAGATAGGGTCTCCAAAGGTGTTCTGAATTAATAAATGAACGATTGAATCCCAGTTGAATGACTGCCTGACCTTGAGAAAGTTAGTTTGTTGGAGCCTCTGTCTTCTTATCAGTAATTTGGGGGGAAAAGTAGTATGCTATAACTACTGCTTTAAATGAAACAATGCATTTCTACCACTAGGTCCTAGTGCAGGGAAGTGTTCCCCAAACCCTTCAACAGTCCTATGGTTTTTTTTGTGTGTGTAGGGGTTTGTTTTTTTTTTTTTTTTTTTGGTCTGTCGTGGGGCTTGAACTCTGGGCCTGGGCGCTGTCCCTCAGCTCTTCAGCTCAAGGCAAGCGCTCTACCATTTGAGCCACAGCACCACTTCCGGTTTTCTAGTGTTTTTTTTTTTTTTTTTTTTTATTGTGAACATACTGTATAGAGGGGTTACAATTACATGGGCAAGATAATGAGTACATTTCCTATCAAGCATTGTAGGCTCCTCCTTTGTTTACCTTCACATCCCTTCCCAGCCTCCCCGCCCCCGTCCCCCCTACCCAATCCTCCCCTCCCCACTCAATCCTCCCCCCCCCAAAGTTGTAAAGTTCGTTTTCGACATGACAACTTGTACTTCTCATTGCTGCAACGGGTCCACCTGTATCCTTATTTAAACGACTTGTTTTTCCCCTTCCCCTTCATAAATTATATGGACATCAAATACAGTGAAAGCAGGGGTTATACTGTGGGGGAGGGACATACAAAGCAACAAAGAAATAATCTTATAAATGCGTTAGAAACAAATGCGTGAAAGAAAAAAAACATTTAAATACATATCTTAGGGTTCATTTTCCTAACATCACCTTATCTGACCTTTTCTGCTTGACTCATACATATACTAGTTATTGCAAATAAGGGAAACTATTAGACCTATGTTTCTTTGGGCTTGGCTTACTTCACTTAATATAATTTTTTCCAAGTCTTTCCATTTCCTAACAAATGGGGCAATGTCATTCTTTCTGATGGAGTATTATATAAGAAAAATAAGTCTGGCTGGGTGCTGGTGACTTACACTTGTAATCCTTACTATTTAGGAGGCTGATATCTGAGGACCATGGTTCAAAGCCAGCCCAGGCAGGATGTCATGAGGCTTTTTATCTCCAACTAACCACTAAAAAGTCAGAAGTGGAGCTGTGGCTCAAGTAGTACAGAACCATCTTTGAGCAGAAAATGCCAAATGAGAGCAGAAGCCCCAGTACTGGCATAAAACACAAACAAAAAGAGGGAAGAAAAAGAAACCCGAACATACTAGCCAGTTCTCCACAATTTGATCACAGCCCTTATTATAACTTTTCCTTTCTGCTGCTTATCATGGTAACTTTCCGCTTTGGCTTAATTGTGGCTTCCCTGAATGGGCTATGTGTGTTACTACTCTTAAGTCTGCTCAAGACTTAGCTATTTGATCTCCTTGAGTTAGTTCAGCTAAATCTTTCCCATATTTTCAGTTAGTCCAAACTTATGCATTCTCTGTCACCTTCTTGTTTGTTTGTTTGTTGTAGTACTGAGGTTTGAGCTCAGGGCCTCATATTCACTCAGGTTGCTCTCTAAGCTGGTGTTCTACCACTTAAACCACACCTTCTGTCCTATGTCATCTTCTTGAAGTGCCCCAAGTCGTAAGTATCATATTTTCTTCTAAATTTTTCATCTTCGATCCCTGAGCTTATCTTCCCTTTGTTCACTGTGTTTGGAAGGAAGCCTTCTTGGAAGAGGTGGCCTTTGGACTTAACTTTGAAAGGTCATCTGTATTACTCATATGGCATTTATTAGGTGCTTTAATTCTTTGCTATTGTGTTAACATGTATCTGTGATTAGACTATTAAACTCCTTGCAGATATATCTTAGATTTCTCTACATCATTGGTGTTATTTACTACATTTTTTTTTTTTTTTTGGTTAGCTGTGGGGCTTGAACTCTGGGCCTGGGCGCTGTCCCTCAGCTCTTCAGCTCAAGGCGAGCGCTCTACCACTTGAGCTACAGCGCCACTTCCGGTTTTCTGGTGTTTTTTTTGGAGATAGGAGTCTCATGGTCTCTCCTGCCTGGGCTGGCTTTGAACCGCGATCCTCAGATCTCAGCCTCCTGAGTAGCTAGGGTTACAGGCGAGAGCCACCAGTGCCCAGCTACATTTTTTATTAGATTGAATTATGAGTACATAGTTGCTAACTACTTTTTATATGTTCAGAATTCTTAGAAGCTCTGTGGAATATAGAGAGAGGCATAAGAAAGATAATCATTGCCCTCAAAAAAACTTTAGAATGTTGTAGTAAGCTGTCAACCTATTAAGTGCTTTAATAACTGCTTTAATAGTTATTGTGAGAAACATGTCCAGTAAGTGTTCTGAAAAGGGAAACATAATATCATAGGCATGGGTGTCAGGGAGAGTTGACTAAAAGAAGCCTTCTTGGAGGAGGTGACCTTTGAGATTGACTTGGAAGGGTTTGATGTGGATAAGGGTGGGATGTGAATAACAGATTCAAGGAATATAACAGGAGATGAACAGAGAATAGGGATATAACAGTAAAGCTCAGAAACTGGGCAAGGGACTTATATAGAAAATGAGAAATGTGGTTCTTTTTCAGGGATACTGAAGCTCAACCTTGTTTCCAGTTTCAGGACAATGCAAGGGATGATATGCGAAGATTGAAAGTTTAACATGTACTGGACTATGTTCCTCAAGTGTAGGTTCTTTGGAGGCTGAGAGTTGCGATCATTCTTTGCCCCTTAGTAATATGGACTCAACTACAATCTCTTGTGATAGTACATATAATTAACCCCCTCCCTTTGCTCCAATGGGGATAAGAAGAATGGTTAGATGTTGGCCAGGCTGTTTTCTTTCAAACAAAACCCAAGTTGAATGCATTACTTATCATTTCTAACATTGTCTTAGGTATGATAGTTGTTATTAAGTAATAATTTGCCTTAGATCATTTCTTGGAAAAGTTCAAAGCACTCTTTGTGGAATGACTTCAGCAATTATCCTCAGCTCAACTCTTGTCTTTTCTGCTGTGGAGCTGAAACTCAGGTATAAGGCTTAAAATATAGCCTGTGTGTGTGTGTGTGTGTGTGTGTGTGTGTGTGTGTGAGAGAGAGAGAGAGAGAGAGAGAGAGAGAGAAGGGGGGAGAGATGGGGGGAAGGAGGTCCTGACTGTTGTCGCTCTGCTTCTCTTTAGTGTTCTCTTCAATCTGGACACTAGCTCAGGGATTAATAAATAATTTTTAGAAGGACTTTCCCCCTCATCCCCAATCATTTTCTCCTGCAATCTGAGGGGCAGGCTAATTCCTTAAAATTTAAAAATTAAAAATAAAACAAAACAAAACCATCTCTTCAAGGAGTAGAACCAGAATAGGCAAACGCGATACTTTGTTCCTTGTTTTCAAGAGTCAGGTGCCGCTGCAAATCAAAGCAGAGATTTTCAATTTCGGGAAAGGACCTTGGAGCCCAGAGGCCCCAGAAGGGAGGGAGGCGGTTTCCATGACAACTGGGCCAGGACTACTTCTCTTCCTCCCCCCCCCCTCCCCCCAGCGGTAGCCCAGGGTACCGCTGGCCAGCGTCCTCCCGTGCTCCGCGCTCTGATTGGCTGCATGAGCCGCTCGCTGATTGGCTGCGGCGTGTGCCTCGAGGACCGGTGGCTATGGAGGCGGCGGCGGCGGCGCTTGATGGTTGACCGTTTGCTCCAGGGTAGGGGTCGCCGCGCGCGCTCGCTTGTGTCCGCTCACACCCAACCGGAGGGGTGTGGACTGCTGACGTTCGGCCTGGAACCCACCGGGGAGACCGAGTTCCGCTCCGCCATGCCAGCCGGGAATCACTCGGACGGCGTCCTCAGCTGTCAGGTAGGGCCCCGCCTCCCGCCCCTCCCCAGGGCTCAGCCTCCTCATCCTCGGCCCACCCTCCTTCCTCGGGTCCCCAAGCCCGGCTTTCCCAGGCCTCTCCCCGAGGGCGAGGGGAGTCCATCTCGGGACGCCAGGGGGCGCTCGGGCGGTTGGGGATCCAGCCTGGCCTGAGAGAGGGTGACCTTGGGTCCGAACCTAGGAGCCAGAGCAGCCCTTGCCGCAGCCCTTGCTTCGCCCAGCACCTCGCAGATGGGGGCCGGAGGGTGGCGACTAAGGTTCTCTGCTCCTCCCTGGTGGGAGAGGCCGGCTTCTGGCCTTGCTTTGTCCTGCTGGAACAATGTGGGTGAAAAGGGTAGCCAGAGATCTTGCTCTGCTGCATGTGTGTTTAATTTTTAAAAATTTCTGGCACCTCTGGTTCAAAGGAAGGGCTAGAAAGAAGACTGTGGAGGTTGAAACAGCCCTCATTAGTGTTGGCCAGCTTTGTGTCTCTCCCAGACCCATTGCACAGACATCTGACAAGTTCTGGGTAGGCAAGCCACATAGGGGCAGGAACAGCTTGATGATTTAAGGGAATGAAAAACAAAACAAAACAAAGCCAGAGCTGAAGTCATTGATCATAGAACTGCTGGGTGGCTACTGTAAGAAAGTAATAAGATGGTGTGGTTAGTGCCCTGGACAGAGGGCTTGAAGGCACAAGGGCAGTCAAGACCAGGGAAGGACTGGGAAGAGGTGGATGGTCCATCTCAGGAAACAAATGCAATGTTGATGTCAGGGATGAGTTTCAGTTGAAGTTTGTAGCAAAATGAGTATCAAGACACTGACTCCTTCCTCTTCTTCCTGGTAGTCATTTGCCACTAAAAGATCTATAATTCCTTCTTTGCTTGCTATTAAAAAATATGTAAGTAGTGATTCACACCTGTAATGCTAATTACTCGGGAGATCTGAGAAAATCTGTTCAAAGCCAGCTCAGGCAGGAAAAGTCTGTTAGATTCTTATCTCCAATTAACCACTAAAAATCCAGAAGTAGAGTTGTGTTTTAATTGGTAAAGCACCAGCCTTAAGTGAAAAAATTAAGAGACAGTGCAAGCTTCAGTCCTGGCAAGGAAAAAAAAAAAGAATATAAACATTTTGGAAAATCTTTGCATATCTAACCTTAAGGCCTGTTGTGCATATTCAACCTCTGGGGTATGATGGTAAAGAAAAATAGGCAATATTTTGCTTTCCTGGAGCTTACCATATAGTGGGAAGCGGAAAGAAGGAATTCCTTTTCTTTCTTTTCTTCCCTTCCTCTCTCCCTCCTTCCTTTCTTCCATGTGGTGTTAGAGATGAACTCTGCCTCATGCATGCTAGGCAAGTGTTCTACTACTAAGCCACGTCTCCAGCCCATTTTTAATCAATCACACAGCACTGGGGAGGCTGAATAGAGGATTGAGAATTTGAAACCATCTGGCTACATAGCAAGACCTTATCTCAAAAACTAAAACTGACACAAAATAATTTTAGTGCTTAGTCCTATGAGAGTATAAACAACTACAGATTAGAGATTTTTCTAAGGAAGAAAATTTGAACAAAGATCTGAAGAATGATATCCACTGAGGAAAGGGGCTCATCAAATGAATTGGAGACAAAGAGAACTGTATACTCAAAAGTCCTGTGATAGAAGAGGGAGCACATCCTGAAAGGCCAATAATGTAGAGCCCAGGGGGCAATGAGGGGAATAGTGTGAGATATACTCTGGGGTTGAAATGTAGTGGGCTATTATTGTAGCCCCCTGTTGAGAAAGTTGGTATTTATCTGAGGAACAAGAGGATGCCACTAGAGGGGAAGGTGAGGCAGGAGAGAGAGCCTGCTGGCGGAGAGAGCAAATGAGATCATGATTACATCTTTCTAGTGAAACATTTTTCTGGCTGCAGTGGGAGAACAGAGTGGAACAAATGTGAGGAGAGAGTGTCCTTAACATGCAGAATATGTACAGGTTGTATTATTAAGAGCATAATAACCCTTAGGATTCTGTTAATGTTCTGCGAAATTGATGATTTTCCCAGTGCTTCTGAGGGTAGGATGGGAAATAATGATCTCTTTTACATATAGTCTCTGAAACTTTCATGGTGACAGAATGAGGAGAAGAAATAGAAGTGTGGAAACAGTAAGACTTCATGAAGGCCGGAGTCAGGCGTTAAGTATAGGGGAACTTGAGATGTAGGGAAGAAGAGAGAATGAGGGTAGAAGGAAGAAAGGAAGTGGGGCATGACTTGGAGGAGACATGGTCAATCAATTGACGATTACCAGTGAAGCTCCTGTGTGCCTACCAGGCTGTGTGCAAGGGAGATAGACCTTGCAGAATGAGGACATGGCATTACTTGGTGTAAACAGAGAGGGTTCCAGCTAGCACATCTGCATAAGTCTGTGCTGTTTTACCTGGTATGTACTATATATAGTACTACTACTACTGCCCTAGTCTGACAGTACCTTCTGATTGCTCTTCTGGTCTACAGTCCACTGTACACATGGCAGCCAGAGAGCTCTTCAAACACAAATCAGATCATGCCATTTTCCTATTTTGAAACCCTTCAGTGTTTTATCTCTTCTTCCTCCCCCTCCTCTTCCTCTTTTTCTGTTTTTGAGGCAGGATCTCACTGTATAGCATTGTTTGGCCTCTTGTTAGCACATATAACTTATCTGAAGGTTCTTGTTTTGATTCTTGTTTATTCTCAAATAGAAGCTACATGAGGACAGAAGTCAGGCAGAAAATTTTGTCATCTAGAAGAATGCCTGATATACAATGCTGCTTAATTGCATGAGCATCATAAATAAATGACACTCCTTTATCTTCAAGCCAAGGTACTTATATTAAAGAGCTCAGAGTCTAATCAGGATTAGCCCAGCATAACAAATGTGTGGTTCACACACAACTCTCCCTTTGTTACTGTGCCTTTTCTTTTTTTTTTTGGGTCCGGTTGTGGGGCCTGAACTCTGGGCCTGGGCGCTGTCCCACAGCTCTTCAGCTCAAGGCTAGCGCTCTACCACTTGAGCCACAGTGCCACTTCTGGCTTTTTTCTTTTTGCTTATATGGTGCTGAGGAATCGAACCCAGGGCCTCAAGCATGCAAGGCAAGCACTCTACCACTGAGCCACCTTCCCAGCCCGTAACAGATTCTTTTTTTTTTTTTTTTTTTGGGTCCGGTCGTGGGGCCTGAACTCTGGGCCTGGGCGCTGTCCCTCAGCTCTCCAGCTCAAGGCTAGCGCTCTACCACTTGAGCCACAACACCACTTCCAGCTTTTTTCTTTTTGCTTATGTGGTGCTGAGGAATCAAACCCGGGGCCTCAGGCATGCAAGGCAAGCGCTCTACCACTGAGCCACCTTCCCAGCACCGTTACTGTGCCTTTTCTAAGGTGTCCAAGGTGGAAAATCTTTCCCTTCCTCTTCACCTCAGAAATTCTATACTGACCTTTAGGGTCTAGTTCTCTGTTCATCTATTAGAATTTGCCACTCAGTTTCTTTTTTCTTTTCTTTTTTTTTTTTTTTGTCGGTCGTGGGGCTTGAACTCTGGGCCTGGGTGCTGTCCCTTAGCTCTTCAGCTCAAGGTGAGCGCTCTACCACTTGAGCTACAGCGCCACTTCCAGTTTTCTGGTGGTTTATTGGAGATAGGAGTCTCACGGTCTCTCCTGCCCGGGCTGGCTTTGAACCGCGATCCTCAGATCTCAACCTCCTGAGTAGCTAGGATTACAGGTGTGAGCCATCAGCGCCCGGCTTACCACTCAGTTTCTTCTGCTCACAGAACCTACCAAGTGTTCTGAAACTGTATACTCTGCTGCTCATCTAATAGCTCCATTTACTGTTTTTTGTAGCTTTTATTGAGTGCTTGCCACCATGTGCTAAGGACCTGTACTAGCTATTTTCTATGTACTATTGCATTTTCCTCCTTCCCTCCTTCCCTCCCTCCCTCTTTCCTCCCGCCTTCCCTTCATCTTTCCTTCCTTCCTTTTTGCTATGCTGTGGATCAAGCATAGCCAATGGGAAGTGAGTGCTAGAGATCAAATCCAAGGCCTCTGGAAACTATTCAAGCCCTCTACCATTTATCTACATCCCCAGCCTAATGATCCCATTTAACTCTTTCTATAACCCTGAGAATTATGTACCTTTAGTTTTCCATTTTGCAAATGAGGAAAATGAGATTTAGGGAGGAGGTTCAAGATGCTCATGGCTCTGCAAAAATCCAGTGCTGCCTCTTTCCAAGAATAACCTTTATCACTGTGCATTATTGCAGCCTGTGGCTTTGACATCTAGAGCAGTACTGACTCTGGGTGAGCGCTTAAGAAGTGTGTTTGAGGGCTGGGAAGTTGGCTCAGTGGTAGAGCGCTTGCCTTGCATGCTCGAGGCCCTGGGTTCGATTCCTCAGCACCACATAAGAAAAAAGAAAAAAAACCCGGAAGTGGCGCTGTGGCTCAAGTGGTAGAGTGCTAGCCTTGAGCTGAAGAGCTGAGGGACAGTGCCCAGGCCCAGAGTTCAGGCCCCACGACCGGACCCCCCCCCCCAAAAAAAGAAGTGTGTTTGAGAAAATATGGGTGGTAAAATATAGAAAGGATGTATTATAGTGAGGCTGATTGGAATGAGGGAGGCCAGCTAGGAGGTTGTTACAATAATTTAAGATATTCTTTTTTTGTGTGCCACTCTGGGGCTCAGGGACTGGGCACTGTCCTTGAACTTTTTTTGCTCAATGCTAGCACTCTACCACTTTTGCCACAGATACACTTCTAGCTTTTTCTGTGATTTAATTGAAGATAAAAGTCTCACAGACTTTCCTGCCTAGGCTGGCTTCGAACTGCCATCCTCAGATCTCATCTTCCTGAGTAGTCAGGATTACAGGCATGAGCCAGCAGTGCTGAACCTCACTATTCATCTTGATGAGCTCTCTGGAATGTATTAAAATTTTAAGAATTGATGAGCTCTTAAAGAGGATAGTAATGGGAGAAGAACATAAAACAACTTTAGGGAAAGTT